CGGTTTACAGTGAAACCAGGAATATTTGGATCCACTTCAAACTAGAGCCACTGTGGGACACTTTAGAGTTCTGGGCTTCACTGTTTAACTTTAAATACATTATTAGACTGAGATTAAATTCAGGGTTTTTCCTTCAGGATCCAACAGAACCTCAAACCAGAACCAGAACCCAGCTGTTTATCTTTAAAGAGCGACAGGTCAAATCCTCGTCTTATCGATTTTAAATCAGACCGACCTTCAGCTGCAAAGAGGTGAGCTCTGTCTAAATGTTTTAACTGTTTGAAACTGAACTGATTCCGTTTGAAATGTTTTGATTCCATATTTTTATTCCTTTTAATTCCTTTCAAACTGTTTTTTACTGGATGTTTTTTCAATTATTAAGTCTCTTGTGAGTTCAGCGTAAACATTGTTCGAAGTTTTCTAAAGGTCTGTAGTTCACCTGGTGGTCCAGCAGGGGTCAGACTGATTTCAGCTGAAGCCAGAATTTAGGTTAAACATTTTACAAAAACAGTCAATGACAGATTAAGTTGTACTTAGTTTAGACTTTAAACGATTGTTTTGTTTCTGAGTTTGTTCTTCTGGTGTTTTACTCCCTCAGTTTTAATTCATATGTTGAATCAGATTACTTTTAAATCAAATAACTAAAGGAGGCAAACCAAGATAAATGACCAGTTTAATCCTTTAATCTGATCATGTTTAACTCTCCTGTTCAAGTGTGATACTGTAAATAAATAGGAAAACACAAATGCTTAAGGCAAGTTTTTGTCGGTGGTAAAGAGCAAAACAAACCAAGTCACTTGAGGAAATAAGAAAATTTTATTTTCTTATCTTCAGTTTTTATTTACTTTCTTAAAGTTATCATTTTGAATTAATATCAATTAATTTCACTTATGTTTAACATCAGTCTGAGCATCAGAAATCCAAACTCTGAACAGGTAGGAGCTTCCTCTCTGGTGACAGGTGTCCCCATTTATAGCTTTTGGTTCAGGACACCAGAAGGACCTTGGTCTTTGTTGTTCTACAGAATGTGAGTTAATGCTTCCTGGTTCCTCCACAGAGTGAACCAGCAGAACTCAGAGGTTCCCAGTGGTCCATCTGCCCAGCAGCATCAAACACAGCTGGACTCCATATTTATGGTCTGTACATGAACTACTGTACAACTACTTCTCCATGGGACTGTCAGTCCCATGTATGTCCAACATGGATCTAATGTTTGGATCCATGATTTCAGTCTGATGTGTCCTTCATTTATTCTCCTGTTCAGCTGCTGGAGGAAAACATTGTTAGTTTTGTGAAGAAGGAGCTGAAGAAGATCCAGAAGGTTCTGAGTCCAGATGAACCAGAAGGCTTAGAGAGTCAGTGGAAGGATGATGAGCATATGAGGAGCAGCAGAGAGGCTTTGGTCAAGATCACACTGAATTTCCTAAGCAGGATGAAACAGGAGGAGCTGGTTGAACGTCTGCAGAGCAGTAAGAAGATTTCTACAGAGATTTAATGATGGAGAAATTATGACTTTATTTCAGTCAGAAGTGCAGAAAAAACAAATAATATATTGAAAGAAATCATTATGATACTAATGATATTCTTTAACCTTTCAGAGCTTTTTGGCTCAGTTTGCCA